CTATTTATCCTATGAGAAACCACAGTATGCCACCTTTCCAAACCACTGCTCATACAGACCAAGCATAGTTGAACTCACCCTGAACAACTTAAAATCCCACTCTTCTGCATTGCACCGCAAAGCGGAACTGGCACTGCTTGGCTCAAGTGTAGAGGGTTAGACCTCTGGCTGCTTAGAGGGCTTGCTAGGGATCTATGTATATTTAATCATAATTATATTATATGTCTCATGGAGCTTGCCTTTAAAAAGGACAAAAAAGGCTCCTACATATTGGTATGTTTAGTTATGGTGATTCCCCAAAGTGGATTAACGTTGTCTGTAAGCAATACATAATGGTCCATGGAAGAATTTGACTGTTTGTAAGACTAGCTATTCTGGCCGAGAAAATTAATAAGACAAGAAATACTCTGCACCTGTGGGGTCCACTGCACCGAATGTTTATGCTAGGACAGTGTTGGAATTCTAAGGAGTCCCAGGAAATACAGGCTAGGAGGAGGGGTAGAAGATTGAACAAAGTTGCCATTGCTTTCATTCTTCTATATTAATTTTTGTATTAAATTCAAATAGCAAGGGGTTTTAGTTAAATAGTATTTTCTATGTAAAAAAATGCCTAATGTCTAAAGTAAGTCTTGCCACTTAACATTTTTTTTCTCTGAAAGCTTGCCAATTAAACGATGATTAAACAATTACATAAATAAACAATTACCTACTCTTTAAGTATATTATCTATCCATGTTATTTGTTACTGTTATTTTATGTTTGTGTTTACAGTGCTATTCATTGTAAAAATGTTAAATTAAAAAAAACCCTCTAGAAAGAAAAAGGATTTAGCAGATACGGATACCAAACATGATCCATATAGATCCCAAACATGGTAAGGACAAGGTCTGCTACTCTATTTACTTTAGTAAGGTCTACAGTACACAAGATCTGTTTAACTGTATCTTTTCATGGTAAAGTACCTTGACCTTTCAGCTTGACTGGCGATTTTGGTGCTAGACCAGTACAAATAAAACTATTCACAATAGAAATCGCAGAACTTACCAAGTGATTTTGAGATGCTAGAAAACCAAATTACATAAATTTAATGAGGTCAAGAACTTCAATTAGTTATTTACCTATCTGAAAATAATGAACTTTTAAATCCGTATTTTGTCCACAGTCAATATTATTGATATTACTAGGTACTCACTAGTTAGTACCTGTCCATAATAGCTGGATCTATATGTTCGTGCTGAGCTGAAAACAGAATATTCAAAATATTTCACAGCTTTCATAGCTTAGAAAAAAAGTTCATTTTACAGTAAATGCCTTATTAATCTTTTTAAAAAAAACTTAATTATTTTAGAAGCACACTCACTCTGTACACAGAAATAAAACAGGCACAGAATAAATTTAAAACAATTTTTTTACCAGTATAACCCCGTACTTCAGCTTATCATTTTCTCTTAACAGAGAGAAGAAAGGATGAAACAGAGAAGCAACTTCTTTTCTGCTTCCAGTAAGAGTCCCAATGATTACAAATAATAGCATTATTATGGGCAGGTTTTAAAATTAGGCTCAAATTTACAACTAGTTTATAAAGAGTTAATCCATTTTTAACAGGCTATATGCTCAATCCTAGTGTGCATTTGAAATAACGTGTGAGTAGATGCATGCTGAAAATGCATGAAAAATTCTGGAATGTATAAATCCTTAAGAATTGCTTTGTCATTTATTAAAATGCGACTTGTAGTACGTTAATCCTTTCATAATTAATTCAAGCCTACTAACTGCCACTACCCTTGCACGTTAAAAGCCGGGAGTTTCTGCCAAAGCATAAGTCCCCAGCGCAGCCCTCAGACAGGTGCTATCAAGTCAGTCCTGCCACTCACTAGTCTCAGCTGTCACTTCACTACCCGCTTCCACCAGCTGCAGGGTGGGTGGGTGACAGCATGGTGTGACAGCAGCCCTCCAGCCTGTCCTCGGTTGCGTGGTTAAACCTGCGCTTCATGGTCCAAAGCACACCAGTATTAAAGGCTACACTAGGCAACCTCAGACAAACTTTGAGAAAGCATTTTACCAAGAAGCTACTTAGTATTTCCTTTGCATAAATACTATTGCATCGACAGGTAAAGAAACACTGGGACTGTTTTCAATTAGCTGAAAGTCAATACCAGACTTCCATCACAGCACACAAAAAATGCCAGTCACCATGCGAGACTGCAGGCTTTCACACAGGCAAGCAGATCCCTAGTAGTAGATCCCAGCAATGATCATTAGTTTAGACAGGCTTCCAGACACATGTTTGGAAGCAGCTGATCCCAGCAAGGACCAGGGAGCTGGACTCAGTGACCCTTATGGGCCCCTTACAAACCAAGACATTCTATGATTCTGTATTTATTTCACAGTCCCTGATCCTGTAATTGATGACACATAAGAAAACTCCTCCAGCTGCATGGAGGTTGAGTTTATAGCAGTTCACAGAATAATGCGGGTTGGAAGGGGTCTCAGGCAGTCACCGTTTGCTATGCTCAGCTGGAGGATTTGGACTCCATTACGCAGGTCCATATGAACAGCAAGAAATAATTTACCACAAATTTAGAAGCCAACTGAAATAACAGATTACTGACTAATGCCTTTCAGCCTTCTGTGGAAAAATAGCCTGTCATCATGCTTCTATCCACTTTCAATGGATATGCTTCATTTGCAAGTCCCTGTCAGATCCCATGACTTGCTTACACTGTGTTCATTCTGCACATCAGATACACAGACATTTGCTCTAGGACAAGTCCAAACAGATATCCATAGGAAGAATAACCTGCCAAAGGCACTGGCTACCCATGCTGAAGCTCAAGAAATGAATTTGCTAGTTGTCAACTCTTACTCACAGCTCAGAACAGACTAGAGATATCACAGTCTTAAGAGACATAACCTTACACAAATAGACAAAGTTGGCACTTCTCTTATTTCAGAAAGACTGACCCCGTTTCCCACAAAGGACCTACATCCCGTGGTCCCCACCCAACTGTTGGCTTTCCTAGAAAATCCAAACAAAAACCTCTCTCTCATATGCCTCTGAACTGCACAGGAATGCAAAAATACTAGGTTTTAGAATACATTTACATAATTCAATTTTGATGGTAACATTTTTGAAATGGCTACTCATCCCTTGCAAAACCAGTAAGAGACAGAGCAGCCTGCTAGGAGCCATAGATACTATCAGCTAGGTGGCCATACTGCAAGGATGACTGAGAATGTCACTCTAAAAATAACAGTTTCAAGAATCAAATGAAAGGTTTTGCATATCTAAAGAACAAAGCACCAGTTCAGAATAATGATGATATTTATAGGGCTATGGAATAATATGCATGTACATTATGGGTGTTCTTTAATGTCACAGATGCGATTTTATTCCGTTACAGCCATCATGACTCATATTTAAGCTTTACAATATACAGAACAGAATTAAATAGAAGTCAGCAGAGATTTGCTTCACACTTTATAAAGATATATATATATATTAATAATAAGATAAAAAATATTAGGTATGGTCAATACTGAAGTAGGTAATTGTGTATTACAGCAATGATGATCCTTATGACACTGAATTTGAAGTGATACAAACAGAAAAGAACATTCTCAGTGTAAAACTATGAAAGAGCTTTAGCAGAAACTAGGGGCATAGACTACTGTGGCCATTCCATATTCATGTATTCCCTGGCAGTTTATTAGATACTTTATTCTGTAAGTCTTCAACATAGCTTTTACAATGGACCGTGGCCACATCAAAAGCAACATTTAACTTATAGATGAACAAGAAAGGGCTTAATGCAATACACACACACGCCCCCAGAAAACTGCTTTAAGAGAGAACAAAACCACCTGTGAGATGTTTTCAAGACTAATCCACCACAGTGGAGTAAATGCCTACCACATGCCCATTTTTTCCCCAAACTAAAGCACCAATGGGATCTGTCAGGCAGACAGGAAAACACTTCAGTAACAGATAAAGATTTAAAAAAAAAGAGTTTTTAAGGATTCAATTTTAACAGCTCCTTTGAACTAACTGGAAATAAGATACACCATAGAAGTTCCTCATGCTAAATCTGTATGACACCCATATTTTTGTGCAAATACCAATGCTGCTCCTAATCCTATTTTTTTCTAACACAGAAAGCAGTACAAAAGGAGATATTTGTCTCTTCTGTGTTATTTTCATGTCTAAACAACACTCTACATATTTTGGAAAGCATCCCTCCCACCAGCTCTCTGGGCATCACTTTTCACCTAGTCTAAGTGGAAGATTGACTGCAGTGTACCAGCAACAAAAACTGTAGTAACTCTAGGTATCGTGCAAATACTTCATGTTCAGCTGGTGATGGAATAAAAATATTAACAGAGTGTTTTATAGGATGAGCTAAAGCAAATTTAATCTGAAGAGTTCAGAGTAGTTTGGAGGTATTTCTGAGTTTATGTCATTATATTCGTGGAAGATAGCGAGTCTCCAGCTAGATCCTGGCTATAGATGAAACATATCTAACCAGTCAGTGGATTGGTACAAGATCCCTACTGTTCTTCATCTGCAGAAGATACAAACTGTGCTGTTAAACCTGAGATTCGCTCTTTGAGCATTTAGCCCTAGCAGGTTGCTTTTCAGTCCCGAGTTATTTGGAATAAGAGTTGTGTTTGCCCTCAACTGTACGGCAATCCTACAGCTGCTGGCCCCCACTAGAGGCTGCTGAGTTCAGAATCACTATTAGATCACATTTTAAACAGTGATCCAAATTTGTTAGGAATTTTCAGAAGAGTAAAGCTAGATGCCCAATCCTTCAGATCACTCAAAATACAAGCTATAAACAGCAGATACTTTCTTGCTGTTCATTTTTTTAGAACACCACAAATCATCTGGCATTCATACCACTGACAGGAACAAAAGAAAACACTCCATTTGCCCTTCAGTTCAGAGAGACTGATCATCATTCACTTCTTCATCTGGAAAAGACTGTAAATAAACAAACCTGTTTGGCCAACTGATCCTTCTTCACCAAGCCAGTGGCTGCAGCAATGTTCCCTGCTCCTTCCACTGTCTTCTGGGCCACTGCTGTCACTCCTGTCACCACAGCTCCTCCAACATTAGACACTTGCTCTTTGGTTTTCTCAGCCACTGAGAAGCAGAAGATGGAAAAACACATTATGGCTCTGAGAGTTGTAAGTTTCTTAGAGAATCTATCACTGACAGCCCAACATCATGAAGAGCTGTAAGGCCATTACATGTTGTGTACCCCAAGTGGATCTTAAGAAATGAAACTATCCATCTGGTAACACTGGAGCAGCAGAGGTAAAAATTAGTCTTATTTGTGGCTCTGTTTCTTTCATGTGAAAGACATTTGATGTTTTCATTCACGTCTAGCTGTACTTTATGGAAGAAAAGTCATTACTTAAGGGCCCTTATTATCCCAACTCACTGTGTAACGTATAGTAATTCCATTCAATATATCCCAGTTTGGAAATGTATTCCAATTAGTCCACCACACACTTACTGCATGTTACAGGGCAAGGAAGACAATGTTGTTTACATTAGACTCAAACGCCATTGATTATTCTTTAATTTTTTAATATATACTTGATTAATAAGCAGAGCTTCTGTTGCTCAGAGAATTTCTAATACAAACTTTTATCTGGTTCTCTGAAATTTTTGGCCCGATGTTGATGTGTCTATCCATATCATACTAATCTACAAAAAGACCAAATGCCAAAGATGCTAAAGTGAACTGGATCAATAGCTAGCTTCCAAGCCCCAAGGCAACAACTCATTTAGCCTACATATACATCAGCAGTTGCCATTCTACCTTTCAGAATACTACTTCATTCTTTCTGCTCATCCATCCCCAAGGGCTCTTTCTGACAGCAGCTTGGACTATAGTGAAACCACTCTAAGAAAAGCAATGGGATGACTTCATGTCTTAAAGTTACATGCCCAGATTTTCAGAAAACACCACATTTACTCATCTAAACAAGGGACTGTTTTTCAAAAACATCAACTGCATAGCTTTGTAGTTCTAGCCAATTCTATAGCTTCCTTCAGCCCAAATCCTATCTGATCCATAAAATGTATTGATAGCTCTATTTGCACACTTTATGAGCACAGGATGGAGTCTCCTTGGCAAAAACCACACCCGTTCAGACACTATTTTGGGAAGCACATACAGAAGGAAGGGTTTCTATGGATAAATTAGATTTCTTTAAATCTTTACATAAGTATCAGCTGTCCATATTACAGGGCACACAGCAGAGATTGCTATGGTTGACGTTGACATTAGTAAAAAAAAAAAAATCATCACATTTTGGGCATATTGTTTACCTTTCTAGCTTTTTCCCAATTGTTATTTAAAGACCCAAATAATAAATATCTGCTGACCAAAAAAAGAGAGGCAAATAATTTAGTACTCATCCTAACTGAAAAGTGAACAATTAGTAACCTATAAAGTGTTATCTCTGTTATGACCAAAATCAGAAGCTTTCATTATAGATGTGGTGGTTTGAGCTCAGAGACTAAGCACCATGCAGCCACTCACTCCCCACTCCCACTCAAGTGCTGAGAAGGGAAAATGAGCAAAGATGCAGCTTAGTTCCCCCTTCCCCACTCCGGTGCTGAGAAGGAGGGAAACAAAAGACACAGGAACTTGAGATAAGGACAGGTCATTCTTTAAGGCACAGGCAAAAGACAGACTCATTAGGGGAAAATAAAAAGAACATAAATTTAGTACAGCCACTAACAGAGTAGGACCATGAGAAACATTATCATATCTTGAAAACGTCTTCCCCCATCCTGCCCTTATTCCCAGGTTCAGCTTTGCTCCCGATATCTCTACCTCCTCCCCTCCAGCAGTGCAGGGGGCAGGCAACAGGGGGTACGGTCAGGCCTGCTGCTTCTTGCACCTCAGGGGTGAGGGAACTCCTGGCATTCCTCTCCTGCTCCAGGATGGTCCCCCTCTCCCAGGAGACAGTCCTCCACAAACTCACTCTGTCATGAGTCACTCCCACAGGTGTGTGGGTCACCCCTGCATGTCATAAGCCTCCCAGAACCAAACTACAACACCACGACCTTCTTCCTGCAGGGTCCCATCCTTCCTTGGGTGCAGCCATCTGGATCAGTGTAGGGCCCCCACAGGCTGCAAATTGGTATCTGTTCCATCGTGAACCTCCATGGGGAGGGCCAGGTGGCCCTGTCCTCTCACCATGGGGTACAGGAAAGTCTCTGCTCTGGTGCACCTCCCCCTCCTACTCCTCCTTGCTTCCACCGACCTTGGTGTTTGCACAGATGTTCTCCTCACAACTCCCCCAACTCCTTACAGGCTCCTCTTCTTAAATACATTATTGCAGAGGCACAGCTAATTGCCCTGATTAGTTAGAATGAGTACTAAATGATCTGCCTCTATTTTTGGTCAGCAGATATTTATTATTTGGGTCTTTAAATAACAATTAGGAAAAAAAAACCTAGAAAGATAAACAAAAGTGCGAAGGCGGGTCTGACTTGGACCTGGAAGACCTTCGAGAAGCTTCTCACAGTGGGCCACTGCTGTAGCCCCCTCCCCTGCTACCAAAAAACCCCCGCCACTTACTCAAACCAGGAAAATAGAGCAGGACAACAACGGACTACTCTGTAACTAGAATCAGAAAGATTTCAATACGATAGAAAATCACAAAGAATGTAATTGTATCCATCCAGTACTCTATCGACAGGCTGCTTCTGCGGGGGGGGGAGTGTGATGAGAAAGCTCTGTCTGAAGTCTATTTATTCCTCACAGAAACACACTACCCTAGGAAAGGCTTGGTACATGCAAACAAAACAAAAAAAGCACAGAATCAGGCCACTAATGCTGTTACTGGCACAACAAGAAGATACCTGATAAAAGTAGTAAAAAAAGCAACATGCTTCAGAAATCAGAGCCAGATGATAAATCCAGCAAACTATACACATAGCACAGATTTGCAAAAGAACTCATACTAACAGGAGAAAGAGTCTCTTCCTTTCTGTCTCTAAGGAATACCTAAACACCATCCCATTACCAGAGTGACTCTGTGAATAAGCTCCAGCTTGGTGACCCTTCAGTTCTGGAACCCTAGCAACAGTAGAAATAAAACCAAAATAGGCTTCCAGTCTCATATATTTAGTTGTTTACACTAAGTAGTAACAGGGGAAAAGCATTAAGTGCGCTCAAACAAATCGGTTCAGAATGCCGGGGGTTGATACCAACTAATTAAATTAATCCGAATACCAGATTGTTTAATGATCTTAAGCCACTATGTATTTGTAAAGCTGATGTCTGCTTTGTATCACAGTGCTGAGAAAGAGCAAGTCAGCTTCTGCAGAGCTCTGCCATGCTATGGCTTGATTACTTCTGTCCACCTATGTAGAGACTGTCCATTCCAGTAAATGATCCTGGGATTGTGTACAATAACCATACCAAGGCTAACTTTGAAACTGAAGTTCTAATATTGACTCTAGCACTGCGCAGAAATTATTGGCATTGAAGCTCTCCTTTCCCTACTTACTGTAGATGAAGGGTAACATACAATATCAATGTGAAACCATTGGAGATATTCAAAAAGAGAATAGTTGATTTCCATTTTGCACAATAAAAGTAGATGAAAACCACAGGATTTCTCTGAATTACTGAAATTACTCTTACTGCACTAAATACACATTTGAATATGTCTTTCAGTCAATAAGGTTGCCTTAGGTACTTGAAGAATTCATTTACAAGGAAGCCATAAATACATTGGGGGTTCTTTAATTCACACAGTACGATAATGAGATTCACAAAATAAGTAAGATACCTGATGGAGTTAAAACAAACACAACAGGAATACCAATGGCCAGGAAAGTTAAGAAGAACAAGAATGATCAGAAAAGAAATAAGCAAAACACCTGAATATGGTTCATAACTTGATATTGTGTTTTGACTCAGCTTCAGGAAACAGCGACGTGGTTAAAATATCAAGGGCTTTTCAGCCTTGATCTTTTGTACAAACCAGTGCTTTACTTTGATTATCAGGAGATGGACTGTAAATATTTCACCTTTGATACCACACATTCCTGGACACTTATTCCTGGGAGATAAGCCAGATGGATGAATTATGCATTTACAGTCAAAGGCCAGTAGACACGTTAATTATGTAGGCAAGTCAGATACATGAACTAACACCCCATTAAAGCAATAAGCAAAATAACAAAACAAAACAAAAAAACCCCAAAACAATCTTCAGAAGTCCTGAGAAAGGGTGACTTGGCAAATAACATGCTCACTGTATTCCTGTGAATCACAGCCTAAACCTAGTAGAATCAGGTCATACTTTGCTTAGAGCAAGAAAAAGCTCAGTCTAGTATTTCTGGGTTTGGAAAGCAGCTGACTGAAAAGAGTATTTAGCTGTTCAGCACTTTGAGATCTGTCAGCTCCCAGTCCCTTCACCAGCAAAAGGTTTTAAACCACAAACTATTCAAAATTAGCAGAACTAGCAAGACCTTGGAACTCAGACAGTAAAAAAGGACTGACTACACAACTGTGAACACACACTCATTTTGATCTGTGCTTCTAGTTTGCCTTTGACTGTCTCCAACCTCTTGAATAATTTTTAGTCACATAACAAAATGTGTTATTTCACCTCAGGTTTCACATGATATTAACACCCTGGTGCATCATAAGACCACCAGGACTGGTGAACCCCTAGTCCTATGAAAAGAAACAAGTAGGTCTCTAAGTGTCCTAAAAGGCAATTTTGTCACATCAACTTGAATAGCATTGATTTAAATGGATCTGATTTCTAAGACAACTTCACTAGCATTTCTCACTATCTTATTATATCTCATAGCATCTCTACAGTGAATCCAAATCTATTTTTACCTACCTTCTCTGCTTGCCAGAACAATTCTTCATAGACTTGCAATATTTTTTATTTTTAAAAATGTGCCCAAGCAATTCCTGTTCTTACACTATCAAGCCTATACTTTTTCATTTCACAAACTGTGCTCTCTGGATTTTGCCACATTTCAACCTGCATGTCCTCTATGCATTTTTCATTTTCATTCAATGTTCAAACTCCTTTCAAACAGTTTAATAACTAGAAGGAAACTTCGGGTGTTTCACTTTGCGTCAATCATTTCCTAAAGTGGGTGAAAAGCAACCACTGTTTCGCCTAAAATTGCCTGAATTTTCTATTAATAGGTGCAGTACGTAACAGATGTGCTCTCCTTATGTCTGGCTTTATAGTCCGTTTCATATATTCCACAAAAAAAATTAACATCTTTTCAGATCTATCAGAAATTCTATTCATCTACTTAAAATTTCATGTCTCACTACACATACTCCAATCAGATAAAGATGGATACTTACAGCATTTGAGATCAGTTGTTTCTGTCAGAAGAAGGGAAAGAAGTTCCCTGCTAAACTCACCTACTACACAGTCTCAACTCTTCATCAAGTTTCATACGTGTGCAAATGGTCTTGACTTTTATTCTACCACAGCCCAGCTTGGTGAACATCACCTCTATTAACTTTCTTACTAATGCTGTCAGTTGCTGCTCCCACATGTGTGATGATACTAGATATATGTTCCTCAAATCTCATTCTAATGCAATCCTCTATTGATTATAGTCATGATCCCTCTGAACATCTCTCTTAATTGAGGTCTAGAAAGATGAGATTTCAAACCTCATAACACAAACATGCATGTTTAGCCTGCAGCTAAACTCTGAAGGACTATCATAGATGTTCTGTTCAGTTTTATGATTAAAAATACTCGTGATTGACTGAATCATTTATTTGGGTTGTGGTATTAAGTACTGCCAAGTTTACCTACGGTTGTTCATCCTTTGCATTGGCTTACATGAGCACAGGTGAATGATACACATACTGTACATAGAACAAAAAGAAATCCTTTTATACTCCCTTACTTATTTGATTTCTAATTTCTTAGGGGAAAACCACCTTAAATTTCTTGACCATTTATTTCCTTCACATCTCCAGAAGTCCCTTATTCTACAGCGGAAAATTACATGTTCTATTCCATGCACTACAGTCAGCTAAGGTTTTCCTGTACCCCGTAGAGATCAAACACTTCCATTCATTTTGCCACTTACTACAAATTACTGGTTACTGGTTTCAGTTCATACCTAAAATGATCCCTGCAAATTAATTTAAAATGCAAATTTACTCTTTTTCAGTGTAGAAATGCTAAATATACTGCCCAATATTAACTTCAAAGTTTGAAAGTGCTGTTGCTACTGAGAGATTAGGCAGTTCTAAAAAACCCTCATAACTGTGACAAATTCAAATCAACTTACCAAAACTCTGAAACTTCTTTCTTTCCTCTAAGCCATTTCCTTCTATCTTCCTACCCAACCAGCTCCAGTGGGACACGCTGAGGAGTCACAAGAATCTTTTAGGGATGGAGGGAGTGACGGGGCATGTCCACACTGCAGTGGCAGCATGACTGTGGGTACAGCAGGCACACCTTACCTGAGACTGCACTATCTGTCTGGTTGGAAACAGACCTCAGGCTGGGATGAAGAACCACTAAGAACACAGGTGCTACTCGGGTATTAAGCTCACATGGAATTCCCTGTAGCCACAGATGTACCAGTTTAAAGCCCTCTGAATCAGTCCTGCCAATTACAAGCAAAGACACAGGTGGATCCCATCAGGCCCTAGCATACCTTGTTTCAAAGACTCTTACATGATTATAAAAAACAAAGTTTTGGCAGAGACAGGGGTCCTGGAGCCAGGTATTGATGTCTTGGGAACACATGTTTCTTCCAGAATCTCTCTCCATTACTGAGAGGATTAAGGAAAACACTACCTGTACTCCCAAAGCATTTAGCAGTCTTCCCAGGGACCTGAAATATTTTTTGATCAACATTGCACTTCTGGTTGCAACATCATTAGTACCCACATGAAAAATCAGGGGAGAGTGACAGTCTGAAGGTTGTACTAAACTTGTCAGTTACCTGGTGACATCCCCAGTTGGGGGCCCAGAGGTGCAGCAAACTTCCCAGAGAAGAGCATCTGGTCTGCAAATGGGTGCCTCTGTTCTGCTCAGGAGGCAATCACCAGTGACCATAACTCATTTCTTCTCAGTGCTAGTCTTAACGCAGGTCTTGCTGTGAGGTGTTGGTTGATGCATCCTTGGTGGGGATGCTTACAAGGTTCCTCCTCTTATCTTACCATGCACTTAGTCTCCCATACCCAGAGCCTTGTACCTAATTCTGTAAAGGTAGCTGAGGGGGTTCCTCTTACAGCTCCGTGCAGTAACCTGCTTCCACCCCTCCCTATCCCCCACAACACTGCCCTCCTCCAGGCACAAAACAGATCCTGGACCTACCTCTATAGCAGCCATGCTGAGCTGGCTTGCGTGTGCCCGAGATGGCAGAGCACAGCTCCATGGACCCGTCTCCTTCTCAGACCCTTTGTGTGTTGCTGGAAACAGACCTCAGGCTGGGATGAAGAACCACTAAAAGCACAGGTGATACTTGGGCATTAAGCTCAAATAGAATTCTCTGCAGTCACAGATGCAGTCACCAGTTTACAGCCTCAGCTTGCCCACCTCCTCCTGCAGCTTGGCCACCGGGCCACACCTGCAGCCCTGCATGTTACTGCCCTCCATCTTGGGGAACATCCCCCCACACACCCCCCAAAGCCTGGGTGGGGGAAGCCACATGGGAAACGTGCCCTCTGCAATCCTTATACAATAGTTATCCTATGCTATAGTTACACAGCAGCCAACTTAACAGTAGCTTGAGTGTAATCATATGGGCTGCAGTCAACAACAGCAACTATACAGCAGGGCTGAGTTAGTGACTGCAGAGGTGAAACTTATTTTGCATCCCAGCCTCACTGGGGATAGTCTAAAAGACTTAAGCATGGACACACCACTGACCTCATTGGCCTTAACTGGAAATACTCCCTGTGGTTTTTCCTTTCTACCTAGGTCTTACAGTCCCCACTGTATGAAGGAGGTTTCTTCTACATTATTTTCCCTCCTTTGCTGCAGTAATTCCTGTCTCTTCCACAAGCATTGGTCCCGACCGACTATGAGCTCCTAAATCAGCAAAGTTCTCCTGACACATACTCAAGTCCCTCCCCAGTTTGCCTTCCACAGTCCTTCTCCAGATCTCACTTTTCTGCCTCTTCAGATCACAAGGAGAAAAAACTACTTCATAACAAAAAAAAAAAAAAAAAAAAAAAAAAAAAAAAAAAAAAAAAAAAAAAAGCAACTTCACTTTTTTATATCAACTAGTTTATAACTTTCCAGCACAGAATATTTCACTTTGGCAATAAACAAACAGCAGAAAGACCCTTGATATACTTATTTCTACAGAGGTAAGATATTTCCTTCTGTTTAGTATCTGGTTTCACTAGTCTCCTGGCTCATACTAGTACAGCTTGAATTTGGTTCAGAACAACTCCCAAAAAATCCTTCTCACGTAGAAACAACTATATTAAATTTACCTATTTGATTGTAGAAGTGTATGCTTTTTGACAAAATGATGTTGCTTTCTGCCTCTCAATTTCTCTGTTTTTCTACTATTCATGAATTAGAGTGCTCTCAAAAAAAAATACACAGAAATTTTAACAGCTAAATGGTTAGTTAATCAAACATAGGGATGCAGTTGAAATTAAGAGGTAATTATCTTACCTGTTGTGACACCATGAACAACTCCTTCCTTGGTCCTGGAACCTAAATAAAGAACAGGATTAATTAGGTTGAAAATGCATGTTCTTGAGTACTGGTAAAGATTAGATGGATGATAAACAGGGATGAATATATAGATTACACACAGCTGCATACAGTATTTTCTAAGCTTATTAAAATTAAAGACCAATTTAAGGGAAAGGGCAAAACCATCAACACAGAGCAACTGCATGAATGTGTATTGGCTGTGGAAGGGTGAATAATACTGGAAATGCTTCCGCAGTCTATTTCTTGTATGTACTGACTTCCTTGCCATTTTCTTAATGGCTGTGTTAACTAAGCCCCCCACTTTGCAAGCTCACATGGATGACTCCACAGAAATCATGTTGCTGTTAACATCCTAAGGAGGCTCACGCATGTTGTTTATAGAGATCAGAGCCAAAGTTTCCACAAGATCCTTACAATTTCATCTTTCAACTCTTTCCCAGATCTCAGTTTGCAGCGGTTAACAACTGTTATTGAACTACAGAAAGACCTAGAAGTTAAAATCATGGGGGAGCTGGTAGCGCTCGGCAGATTTAGTCAAAAATTAATCTGAAAGGGAAACATTAAACAATACATAGGATTCAAACGTGAAAATGCCCCCAGAGTCAAACCCAAGGTCTGCTGCATCCAGTGTCCTCCTTGTCACAGGCACATGTGACAACTTACATAAAATTCTGGAGACAGCAACCTAGAGCTATGAGACATAATGCAAGACCTGTGTAAGCACTGTAACTCTATCACCCTGAAGACCAAACTGATTTCTGGAACACCCATGTAAAAATATCACGGCTTTTTATCATGCTGCATGAAAGGGAACAATCTCTCTTGTGTCTTCAATGGAAAGAGAAACAAATCAGCACATACTACTGTTGAAAACATAACTTCATGTCTTTTTCCCTACCAGAGATCTACTTGTCCTACTTGCTACTAGTGCCAATTTATGGAACTTAAGACATGTATTTGTGGTACTATCAAACTGACTACAGCATTGAAAAGGCTCCGTTATCCGTGAGCAAGAGCAGAATAATAATTCATGATAAATGAGAGGAAAAAAAAAAAAGTTGCATCAAGTAAAATGACATGTTCCTTTAACTAGCTAATGAAGAGGTTAGAAAAGTCTTTCCCCCCCTGTATTCTGATTTTCTCTTTAAAAAAAGCTGTTTCTCTCACCGAAGATATTTACCACTGAAAGAATCGTTCATTTAATTAGATCCAAGGGTTAACAACTGTTTTATGACTTTGGTTCTCAGTCTTGCAGCACCATGAGACCTGAAGATGCAAAGCACTTTGAACACATACTGCAATCCAAGCAGATAATTGTTCTACTGACTTCTACAAAGAGACTAAACACCATTTCAGGCTTACAGTGTTTCTATGGCATACTTAATATTAAGCATTTGCTTTTAAATGCATATTTAGATCTGGCCAATATCTCGTCCATCTTATTGAAGTTATTGTCTGCAGGCCAAGCTATTAAACACATGGAAACCTGTGAATAGAAAGTACTCAGTTCCCTAGGGCTGGTAAGAGATGGATGGTATGGCAGAACTCCCTGAGGACCTCTGCAAAGTATACATCTCCAGAGGGACATATGCAAGTCGGTTCTTATTTCACTTACCCTGACCGAACACTGCTATAACCACAACTAAGACAGAAATGCTAGTCTGTTAGTGGAAGACAAGACTTTAACAAAAGCTTGGCTTGCAGACCCATACAGAACAGTTATGTATAGATAAATCCAATTGGCAAACAACCAGCTAAATGGTGGTCCAAACCTTACAGCATATATTAGAGCTCAATACTATTTGCCCCACTACTGCACACTTGCATGGAAGTAGCTGTTTTTGCAGTCACAGCTACAACAGCATCTAGAAGTACATTAGGATATGCCAGAACAGACCTATAAATAACAACAGTTGAATTCAGTAGGACAGCTTCTGGCTGGCAACGAAGGAAAGCTGGTCATCCATATCGCTTCCAAGAGAAACCAGCTGTCCTTCATTCCCAAAACATCAATAATCTTGCTTATTGTACTCTTCTGTAACAAGGGCAACAGAGGAATCAAAGTAGGGATAATATAAGACCAAGGAACCTGACTCTGACCTACACTGCTGAGCTGATGCAATTGGAGCTGGTTAAAGACATGGAGACATAAGCCCTAATTAAGATGACAATATCTGCTTTCCTAAGGAAAACACTTGCTCCCAAGTGCTGAAGCCCATTATTCCACCAGACAGACCTTGAGTGCCCTGACTACTCTGCTGGCTTCTCTACTACCAAAGGAAAATAAGAAACCTTCTGAAAAGAGTGCAGCAGAGGAATTTGGATGGTCTTGCCAAATAGGTCATGACTGCACTGTTCTACTCTAAGGCCATGTGCCAGCTAAGTACAGGGAGTAGTAAACAACTCATCCCCTAGCCACCCTGCTCCTGATAAACTATTCCTTTGTCTTGCTAAGGTATAACACAACAAAAAATGATCAAACTGGAAACTTCCATTCCTGACCACTGAACATGCACTCAAGAGTCAATTGAGCAAAAGATTCAGCTCTCTAGCAGCACACAGAGCTCAGAGGAGTTCTTGAGCAGCAGATCAGTAAGAGCATGCCAGAGCAGCCTTCTTACTCTTAGTTCTTGTTATCAAAGCAAGTGGGGATAAATATTGCCACTTATTTCCTCACTGCTTCAGACCAACAGCTCTTGAAGGATACGTAGAAACCCAGTTTTAAATTTACAGCATACACAATGCAGCACAGGACTGCTGAGCCTCACTCCTCCTTTCTAATCCATGATCAGGCCATTGTTTGACATCAGGAAAGGACCTGATGCTGTGCTTGTATGAGTCAAGACAGAGCCACTGATTTCAGCTGGCCAGTGCTGAAATACATCAGCAGAGGAATTTAGAGGAAAAAACCACACACCTGAAAGCATAAAAACACACTATAGACTGTACTGAACAGTATCTTGGGTATTAAAAAGCAGGACAAAGACAGTAGACTAGATGAAGAAAGAACAGACCAGCATGGAGAGGTAAAAAGATCTCTGGTTAACCCTCCAGTATGCCACTCTCCCTCAGAGCTCTAAATTTCCTCCCATGCCAAAGAAAACTTTTCTTGTGACAAAGGAAAAAAAAAAAAAAAAGAAAAAAGTGACAATGACCACATTTCATCCCAAGCAGAAGCTTTTGTTATTAGAACTCTTGTCAGATAGAACGATGTTACAATCTTTCAGATAATGGTTAGCAGCAGCCAGGACAGAAAGGTCCAGACCTTTTCCATATTTACTTAAATTCCACTGATTTCAGTGAGATACCATATCACCAAGGGGATCTGGACTAAAGACTTCACATCTTATTAATTCTCCAGCAGCAATGGATGGCTGAATGTTAAGGAGTTGACTGTTGAAACTGAAAATGATTAACAGGTCCTTCTCAGCCCAGTGTTGTTAGGTTCTTCTTCTCTGCAAGATGTCAAGCATCTTTCACAGCATAATATGGCTGTGAAACTCATATCTGAAAACCCAACTATAGAGATAGGGAGGGAGAAACCTTCAGGAGCTCTAATGCAGTGTGCAGCTCCTCTCCTCATACAGGGGTTTCATCACCTTTTGCATGCAACTGTTATCAGCCTACAGAACCAAAGAATTATCACACCAGCCTTTGCTAATGCTGCTCAGAAGAGCCACTCCTGCTGTGTGCTTGGGAAGTAGACAGAGAAATACCCAGCTCTGTTTGCCCCTTGATCCTGGTGAAGCTTTAGCTGGAGCAGCCGTGGCTTCTTATAAACAGGTATGGGCAGGAACACACACAGGCCTATGAGCTGCCAGAGCTCCTGAAGGCAGCTTCCAACCACAGGCTTTTTTACCTGCATGATTGAAACTCTGCATATAGCTCTTTCCTCCTGAAAAGCAGGCATCTGCTGTGGGAAGGATCCTTACCGTTACTACAATCATATACATAGTTCTCTATCATGGCTCAGGGCTCTGCTGTCCGCAGTATTTTATTCTTGAAATAAATAGCAAGCCTGCCCTTGAAAGTTCAACCTCAGAAAAAGCATCTCAGAAGAGATTAGGAAATCTGTTGCCTTTGGGAGCCGAACTAAGTTCAAATATTATTACAATCTGGAAAACAGGTCAGACACAAAGATTAATTCAGCACAAAATGCAGGTTTCTAACACAAAGAAATCAGTGACCCCAGAAGCATGGTCAGGAACTAGAAGAAAACAAAATTAAAAAAAGAAAGCCCTACTCCTGAAAAATAACTCCAACGTCAAGCACAATGTACAGTGAAAGGACATCTATTTTGATACAGAAAATGAGCAGACGCTCATTTTAAAATAGACTCATCTTACAATTAGTTTTCAAAATGACTGCCATCTCTGTTGGCAAGAGCACCGAGCTTTGCCATGGCTCAGCAGGAGAAAAGCATATTCCAAATGAGTAGTCTAAACTATTGGAGCAGAAATAATTTGTTACAGACAGCAACTAGCCTGCAAGGGCAGAGGGAATCCTGAAAAGGCACTGGAATTGAAGAGATCTCAGTGCTCCCCTTTAAAAGAAATGCCTCTGGTTTTCAGCTCTGTTTAACTTCTCTTTGATATCTGTGCACATCATCCTAGCTACACACAGCATCCATTACAGAACTGACCTGCTAGAAAAATCAGCAAAAAAGAAATAACCTCCAGAAAAGAGTATCTTTTCCCCTCCATTATTTTATAGATGAACTTTATTTAATGAATAGGAGAAATAGATCCATGACTATTTTTTTTTTTTTTTAAAAAAAACACTAATTCATACAGTCTTGGCAGATAATTTTCCTGTGAATTTTTCATGGCAGCATTTGCAAGATAGTCCTCTAAAGCCCAATGCTTGCTAAGTAAAGAGGATGATCATGCAATCAGTGTACCGATCTGGGACTTGAAAATAATTTTATCCCTGGCTCTGTGCAAGACTCTCGTGTGACCTAGATAAGTCACTTAACAACTGCTTCACTACCTTGGGGTCTACCTGCCCTACCTCATTAACTGTAGTGGCTCTTCCTTAAGAAGTCATGGAAAGTATCTGCTATGGATATGCAATATTACCTGAAGCACGGAACATGAAGTTAATTTCAAGAGATGAGATGACACCTGACATACAAAATGTTAATGCTGACATGCCAAGCAGCCAGCATGGCTTATGCTCAGTTCCTGAATTAACCTTTCATACACGTTCTACGGGATGTTGTAAAGCTACTTTCCACTTCAGATTTTACAAATTTTTCTCAATTTATTTTACTGTATCAACTACCCCTTCAGCCTTAACCTAGTAAACATCTTGAACAGACCGTCAGCTAGTGACCTGTACCATAAAGCACCCCCTAAGACACAAAATTATTCAGTCTGGCATTACAGGTGTGGCACCACAGAGCAGTAACACACGGTCAGCACAACACAGTGACCTAAGAACCAAAGTTTGGCTTCAAAGAACTGGAGTTCAAGGGGTCACAACTCTCCTCTTGTTCTGTAACAGTCTCCTACAAGTGATTACGTATATATTTTTGCAGAAGAATAGGTCTGATGAGGATCCAGCTGTGAGCGTCAGGGTACACCGACCAGCAGTGTGATCTCTGCTGCCCACCTACCCACATAGAGGACACCCTCTTTCGTCTTTCCTGCTGCCTCTGCCACACCCTGCTTGGTTTTTTCTGCTGCTGCTACGACTCCCTCCTTTGCCTTGGAAAGTCCTTTCATGAACACATCCATGGCTGAGAAATTTCTTCACACAGCTCTAGAAAAAACAAAAAAGAAAAAGACAGTACACTTTCAATAAAATTTTTTTTTTTCAGCTTTTTATCCCAGAAAAGGAGGAAAATTTTATTCAGACCTAATGGCATCACAATTACTTAAAAATGATAGTATTTATACCCTCATAATATGTACTTTCACCCTTATTTCTGATTAGCATTACACAAACACCTTTCCGTATGTGAGGTTACACTCAGTATTTCAGATAGAAAGAACAGTTAAATAACTAGAAAGGGGTACGATTACATGAATCGCTTTTTCTCACATGCTGCAGTACATAGCAAACTAAACAGCACTGCCAGAGCAGCTCCCTCAATTCAAGCAAAGCTTGGGGATCCTGTTTCCACAGAATCCCACAGAGAGGTTGCTGTTAACGCAGTTCTAGTTGGAAGATGGACTCATTGGTATGACAAGTCCCTTCCTTGCCTACCAAAGCATCATTTCCTCCAAAGGACAATTCAGTTCACATGCTGATTGCAAGGTTTAGCCCTGTGATTTGATGATACTCCACCTCTCATCCAGAGGAAAAACCCAACTTAAAAAAACCCTAGCGACTTACAAGAAAGACCAACAAACCAAATCACAAAACCCCCAAATCCTTCTAAATGACAAATGTTCACTTGTTATAAGAAACTGCCATTACAACCCAGAAGGACTGGAGCAAATAGAAAATGATGCTTTACCAGCAGTCCAGCATTTTGTGCACAGCACACGTCACTTTCTGGAAACTGAGTTTTCCCAAATGGGTTCTTTGCATGTATCAAGACTGAGAAAAGATTTTACTAAAAAGCAAAAGCAAGAATGCAGGATTTTAAAAGCACTGCACTAAATCTACCAAGTGAGTGCTGTGGCAGCTATACAACCCAGCACTACATCAAAACTACTAAAATAGTAATGAAACCCAAGAAATCAGTGTCTCTTCAACAAAATCGTTATCGATAGTCCTTTATCTTCCTGCACCCACACAGAAAGAAGCGCTGCCTGTTATTTTCTTTTCTCTGCTTGGAGGCTGAGTAGGAGGAACGGATGTCTAGGAAGGCATCTGGGCTGCCGCAGCTTTCGTCTAACTCGTGACGAGCGTGCGGGGAAAGGCAGCGTTTGTGCTCCAGCCAAACTGCCTACGGGACCTGTTACCCTGGGGCTGGAGAGGGGGGGCCGGGGGTCTTACACACGCAAAGCCGGGCGGAGGCAGGCCCCAGCCCGCGGGACCCTCCGGCTCTTCCGCCGCTGGGGTCCCCAGGCCTGTCCCCAGTCCCATCCATCCCCGGGTGGAGGCAGCGCCACGACCAGGTGCGGGGGCACCTGGGGACCGGGCGGGTGGTGCGGAATGTATATATGAGATGATACACAGGCACCTGCAGAGGGAGGGAGAGGGTAGGGCGTCGCGACCATATATAAATACACACATACAGAGAGAAAGAGGCACCTACCGAGGCGGGCAGGGCGACGCGACCGTACAGCACCCACGGGCTCCAGCTGACACGCCGTCTGCACAAGGCGGCCACGGCGCCCGGCTTCTCCTCCCTCCCCCGTACCCACAAGAGGACGTTAAACAGGAATTATATACATACATATGACGTTTTACAGATTTTATATATATAAATACACGTGTGCGTACACACACACAAGCGCGCACCCCTACAGCTACGCAGACACAGCGAGCCCAGCCCTCGGCAGCACCGACGCGGAGCGGAGCCTCTCCCAGCCCCGCCGCGCCGCTCCCTCC